CAACCCACAGTTAACTTACAGGGGAGTGACTCCTGTCCTATTACAAGTATCCCCAAACCCCCCAACACCTCAAAACACCCAGAGAATGGTGAATAGATATAAAAGAAATGGTCTTTAAAACATTTTCCAGAGTCTTCCCACATCCAAGGCTTCAGAGGCTCTTAGTATTTGAAGTATTACTGGAAGTGTTCCATACAATTCCCCGTGCAGAGATCTAAAAATAGCTATGGACACAGTAGTAAGTTTTTGTCTATATTCGCAAGCCCCTTACTTCCCTCTCAGGAACCACTACTTCCCATTAATGCTGACTTTTTTTTTTTTTTTAAAAAGGAGCTATTAGAACATTAGAAATTCTTCGAATAGTGCAGTGAACATCAATAATACTACTACATCAATAATAACAATTACATTTAAATTGATACTCTAGTGATGGATCATTAATATATTCTGTATATTAAGAATAACTGCATTAAAACAGATGCCTTTTGCAGCCTCCTTGGATGGCCATGCTCTTTTCTGTATCAAGAAGGGCAGGTATCTGTAAGCACAAGTCAGAAGCTAGTCTGGCTGCAAGTGAATAACTCAGCACAGTTGCCTTAACTGCAAATAGGCTTTGGAGTTCAGAGTAAATAGTCCCATCAGTGCTGAAGAGATGAGAATATGACTTGTACCACAAGGGAAGTTCAAGAGCTCTTGAAATACATCGTTACAGGCTAGAACGACTTGGTATTTTGAAGGGAAGCAGCAAGAATCATTCAAATACAGATACTGCTTTGATTAAGAGTAATTAGGACAGAGATTTAAAAAAAAAAAAACGTAAGACAAAAAACATTGTGCATGTTTAAAAAAACCTGATAAAACAATGTCAATTTTGCTTTAAGAATTGATGAAGCCAGATGATGGCCTTTGCAGATCTGCTCATTGTTAGCTTAAGCTCTGTAACAGTGTTAGCACACAGTATGTATCTGTTCTGACCATGACAAAAGTATCATTTTCTTGCCTGACAAGCCCCATTTGTCCCATCTTTACCCACAATGACATGAAGCATGCCAAGCTGCAAGAAGTCAAAAAAGTAGCTAACCTCGCTTCCGATTTTGTTTGTTCTGGACACATTAAAACAGAAGTGAATGGCTTCTCACGTTCTCCCACTAGAGACCTGGGAGAAAGAAAAAAAACAACAAAACAAAAACCACCCGACCAAAGCAATTCCTGTTGGCCTTAGTCTCCATGATTTAGGACGTAAAAGGAAACATCATTTATGGGTGCAAAAAAGCTTGCAGATTATTATACATGCACCTGAACTCCCAAGTACACCCAAATACTTATTATTAGGCTCAAACTGAAGAAGCTTCCACCCTTTCAGCTAAGTCATAATTGAAGTCCCAAGGTCCTTTCTCCAAGGAAGCCATTCAAAATAGAATTTGTCTCCACCTGCTGGCAATGAAGAATTAACACCCAGTTGCCCAACTACCACGGGCAACCTCAAAAGAACAAATGTTACAGAACACTGAGACACATGATAAATGTATTCCTTTCTAACATACAGACAGAAAACGGGGTAGGATAATGAGGGCAAGGGAGAAGAGAGAAGAATCACATACTGATTACAAAGGAATTCCTATTCCAGTAGTTAAAAAACGAGGACAGAGACGTGACAATGTAACCAAACATACAATGAAGCTTTTGTCCCCAAACTACTTGGCTTGCATACAAGGAACAGAGGAACTTGGGTTGGTGGGGACAGGCTGAGGCGGGGGAAGAGTGAGAGGCTGATGTTTGTGAAAAGAAAAGTGAAATTGGTTAGTCTGCTTTAAGAAAGACAGTGAAGAAAAAAAGCAGAAAAGCACCCTGCTATTGTAGAATCCACCCACTCACTTCTGAAAGGCTCAAAGACCCAGACAGGGATTTACAGCCAGCACTTCTAGGCACTGAATATGAAGCAGAAAACACTCAAATGCCCAGAGGCAGCTTCTGTGGTCCCAGAGAAGAAGCTTTCAGATTGTATGAGGTTATGTTCAGAGCCATTTTCTTTCAACAAGTTTGCTACTGCTGAGTCAGTCATCAAGCTTAGCATTACAGACCACAGGGAGACACCTGTACGCTGCAATTTTCATCTCTAGTTAAGCAACCAACATGTTTTACTCTTTATTTTTAAACAAAGTCAGACAACTTCCTGGAGAAATAGAGAGAGTTCAAAAGCAGACCAATATAATCCTACGGTTTAGAAGCCAAATTAATAACAATAACAAAAAAAAAAAAGAAGAGCTGGTGTTCAGTTGACTGTAAGACCAGAGTGAAGAAAATGCGAGTGCTCAGCAAGGTTATTATTTCAAACATTGTTGAGAAGCATTCAGAAAGATCATAGTAATGTAAAACTTCAAAATTTTGGTGATGATTTTGAAACTATTATAAAGATACGAAATTCAGTTCAAACCAAGCATATTCCATTTAATAGCTCACTTGCTAAGTAAGAAAGGGAGTGCTGATGCAGAGGTTTTCTTTAGCCTTAGTTAAAATCAGTTCAGAAAAGATTTATTTTCTCAGAGTCCACTATATCTGGCTTCTGTTTATTCATGAGTCTATATCCAGCAAGGGTTTAAACTAAAAGAAGGTATGGGTTTATACACATCATATGAATTATAAATAAGGCATCTCCTTAAACCACCTGCTTTCTTTAAGAAGTTATGCAGTTTTAAACTTTTTTTTTTTTAAAAGGAATTGTACTGCTGCTAATCCCCATGTACTCAGGGAATCAGACTTCTGCTGAACCTAGAAGCAAGGCATGGAAACTTGTTCCAGTTATTAAGGTCTTAATAATTTGTTTAGTGATCAGTCCAGAAGTAGCATTTGTATCCTTTAGAACAATCTATTACATTTAAAAAACTTTTATGCAGTAAGTGCTTTTTATCTACAATTGAGGTACTTTATAATCTCCCGGTGATTCAGCGGGCACAGTGAAATAATAGCACCCAGGATTTTCAAGTTGTTAGTGCCACAGATGCGTGCAGTGGGACCGATTCACACAGTATTTTTGTAGTACACCATATCGTTGCACTATTGACAAGTTAACAATTCTGGTGCCTGCAGCAGCTCCAGTTGCCCCAGTAACATTAAACAGGTTATATGAATGCCATCCAAAAAGATGCATGATAGAACTATACCATGGTATTGAAGATGACAGCATATTAAACGATCACTTGCATGCCTGTATGCTTCATTTTTGTGGGGCTTTTATTTTTTGGTATTTCCTGTTTAATCCTCAAAGCCAGAGAATGCAGAGGTAGGCCTACTAGTCTTGGAATGCTATTTATTCAGCTAACTGGACTTTTTTCCAGTTTGATGCAATTTTATTGCTAACCAGTACAGGAATGAACCTCCCACATGACCCCAATCTGAATCTCCCCTTAAAAACAAAACCCATGCTTGATCATAGCATTTCCCAGAAAAAAAAAAATTCTTAACAGGCTGCTGATGCAACTATTGCTTATTATACTGGATTCTCTTAGTAGCTGTCTCGTGTTAAATTCAAGTCCCCTGTGGCATGAACCATCTTTTTATTCCACATTTGAACAGTGCTTAGAACAGCAAGTCTTAGTCTGTGTCTACAGATGCTAGGAATTATGGAACAATTAATCTATCTTCTCTCCCCGCTGCACATCCTCCCCCCCCATCCCCAGTGCTGTAACATGGAAATTGTTACATTTTTAGCCTAAGGAAATGAGGTTTATACAATCATCCTGTGACAACTTTACCTAGTCATTTTATTTATTCTTCAGCCATTTACAAATCTCAAGATACTTCAGAGACAGACTTACAAAATATGCAACATCAAGATTCAAAAAGGCATCTATTAGTGAAGACAGATGGGTACCTAAGGGCTGCAACATGAGTTTAACTACAGTATTAGACACTAGAGAACCCACACAGAGGAGCAGCATGAGGAAACAAACTGAGAATTTCACTGCTGAATTTCCCTAGTTTTTCTATAGCTGCATCAAGTTCCTTTGTAAGAGTTTAAGGGAGACTATACAAAGCAATTTTTCTATCTTCTACCTAACTCCTCTAATTAAACATTGATAGCATATCCAGGCATGAAGAATTTCACCTGTAACAGTCTTTTTTTTTTTTCTTCTTAAAGAAAAGCTGAATGAAGTTTGGGGACAGAACACCTGAAACAAAGAATTCTACCTGCAGATTAAAGCATAATTAATGTCAAAATCAAAGATATATTTATTAGAACAATCAGGATATCATCCCATATCATCTTCCAAGAACTAGTAACAGTGGTACTAAGGTGCACGGATCGGTACCTTGTTTCACTGAACAGAGAAGAGAGAAAAAAGTATCTCCATCTTGTACATTGGAAGAAAAAAGAGTGGATTATGAACAGCTGTCAGAAACATATTCCATACCAGAAGTACAGCTATTTTGGCACAAGAGCATGAAAACCTAACAACAAGAAAGCAAGGAAGATAGCACATTTTTAAGCTCACTGTCATCTTTCAGTTGCTTATCCAAGTTTCACTTGCAGACGTCAGGATGAAAAGAAACAGCCAAATAGCAGCAGCTGGAATGGGTGTTGTATTCACTTCAAAAGATCTGCATGCAGGAATAGTTTGCCAGTATCAATATAGCGCAAGCTGGCAGGACTGGAAAGTTACAAATTAAATGTGCCTTCATCAGTGACCTACTATGAACAGACCTACTGAGCTGCTAAAATATTTTTAGTTCAACCAATTCCTGCCTTTTTTGGTTCCTCTTGCTCTTCCAGTTTATCCAGTCATGTGCACTTTTCCACTCCCTCTTATTGCCATGTAGTTTTTCAAGTTTGGCTCCAATTACCACTTGTTTCTGCTGCTGAAGTGCTCAGATTTACAGCATTATTACAAACAGCTCATATAATGACTAAATCTTGCACGTAGCAAGCAATCTTTCAACTGAAGAGAGATTTATACAGCAGGGAACTTTTTTCCTCCCACCATGAAGATGGACATACTCACCAGCTGATACTCGCTCCTACGGCTGAAGGCTTCCTTGATTCCCGAATCCCTCCACAGCGCGCCCAGTGCAGGTACATACAGCTGGAAGGTGGCAGGCTCTATGGGCATTCCAGCTTTGTTTTCAAAAGCCATCAAAAACATTCCATGCTTCTCATTCTCGGTGTACTGCCAAGGGATCCCCAGTTTGTCCCGTGCATCAACCAGAACCCTGCAGCCCTAAAGAATGATTCAGATAAGAAAGTCAGTGATAAAAAGATTAAAGTGTAAAAGAACAAGGACTCAGAGGTACTTGAAGCTTTTTTTTTTTTTTGACACTATTCTGGTGAGACTGAACTCAGGAGAGAATCATAAACATTGTTTATTGCAACATCTCCAATAGAAATAAGACAGAAAGAGCTTGCTTGTGTAAGCAACTTAGCCACAATGTATTTTTCCAGGTGGAAAAAAATACTAGCAGCAATAGCTTGTTGCAACAAGCAATACTACCAACAGATAACAGAAGTAAACATCAAATGCGTAAGAAAAGTGTTTGGGAACTAACGTATGATCCTCATAGCTGTAGTTTTAAAAGTAACACCACACCTGAAACCATATTCTTCCATCTTTTTCTTTGCATTTGGGTTTTGGATACCAAAAAGGACATACTAGCTTTCTCAAGCGTTAGGAGATCAGAAGAACATTAAAAAAATATTGTTGAAAGAACATACTGTATATTCTGGTGAAGCAAAGTATATTGACCATCCAAAATTAAGGAAACTTAGTAACTTCCAGTGCTGTATGCATCCACCAACTAGTTAAACATTTAGGTAAAAAAGATAGCAATACCAAACTAGCAAGATCCAAAAAGCATGTTGCTGTAAAGCACAATTTTGACACAATCTACTTGGATGCTATATAACACAGCTATCCAACTTTACAGATTTCTTGAAAATTTGCTGTAGATGAGCATCTTCCTTTGAGACACTTTCATCCAAATGGTTACCTCTAGTAGGAAAGCCCAGAGGCAAGAGGACTGAAGACATTGCATAGATTTCAGGCTCAGTAAAGCAGGTGCAGTTTTCCATCAGCATCAGCTTACTTCTTGAACTTGCCACACATTTGCTAAGAAGTCATGACAGGTAGGTTTTGGTACTCTAATTCTGGAAAAAAATCTGGAAGGAAAGTGATCTAGTTCTCAAATTTAACTCAGGATTACCGAGACTACTTAATTTCACATTTTGCAGTTTTTATGGAAACTTAATTTCATATTCATGGCAACAAGCCAAACACATGAGGTTAAGTAACTTGGAAACTTCAGTCTTGAATCTAACTACACCCATACTAGGTGGCCTATACATGGCCAGTAGTTATTTCTCAACAGTAAGCACCATTTTAATAATGGATAGATCTGTTAATGGCTTAGCATCTCAAGTACCATCTAATTCACAAGTAAAATCTGTGGATTATATTAAACTACTTTTCTCATTGTGTTGATCTTTTGGTTTTACAGTTTATGAAAATAAATAAAATAAAAAAACAAAATTGAAGTTCTGTTTCCACAGCTATTCACATGAACCTCCACATTACTGGACTGATTTTTTTTTTTTTTTTGCATATTTCAAGCTATCAAGACTGCACGTATGTTTTCTTAACACTTGAACCTTTCACCTCTCCAGTCCTTTACCAGCACCACACAACAAGAACAGTAACCTTCCCAATGGAAATTAAGATTGGGGAGGGAAGTGAGAAGCAACTTAGTGTGAGTGTCACAGAATAGGAACTCAAAGCGAAGCATCATGGTTGTCACTATGCAACAGTGTTCCTGAAGTGCAGTTTCCCAAAATGTAAATATTTATGATTCTCTAGTGATTGTTACTTTCTTTTTATAAAGCAGAGAATATATCTCCACAATACCATGAAAAGACAAATTGAATATTTACAAACTGCTGCTTTAAATTCCAGACGTAACTATTTAGTAAATCTGTCATACAGACCAAAAGCCAACTCTCATTCCTAGTTACAGAGTTTATCCCTTTATTAACAGAAGTCTTTAGATCTGCATTATTTAACAGTGTTAACAAATGTAAGCATGAAGAAAAAACCCACTTACAAGGTTCTGTCTCTGAATTGCAGATGCTTGCACGACGTCTCACAACCTTAGTCAGTTTTGCAAACCCATCACTTGCACAGAACACCATCCCAGGTGCAAGTCAAAGTCAGTGTCAGCTCCTTGCTACCCCCAGTCGAGAACTTGGAGATTAATTTTTTCCAAAGCACTGTGGTAACAGAGACCGGTGGGATGCCGCTATTTCTAGGTATTTAATGCCAGGTTTGTTTCCGTTGAGCGAGAAATGTTTATGAACAGAAACAGTTAATCGGTACTGTGTGTCGGCCAGCGATCTCCGGGAGCTCCCAGCCCACACAGACCAGCTCTGACCTTTCACCTGCTTCGGCTCCAGCTCTCTGCAACCATCTCCCCCAGCCGCTCAGTTCCAGCTTTTCTATCTTACAGCTTTCAGACTGACTTAACCCTTACCCATCCCACAGCTACCACAGTCCCTTCAGAGCATCTCAAAGGAACAATGGCAAAATCGCACAATTCCTGTCTGGATAAAGCTGTAGCGGGACCTCAGTCTTGGTGCATTTCCCCACACCGTCGTTCTGCCTTTTCCTGCTCCCACTGGAAATACGGAGGATCTCGAGAGACTGTTGTTAAGGAAAGTTTCATCATTTGTTTGGAGGAAACCACAGAACAGAGTTCCAATCAAGGGCGTAGAGACTGCTCCAGTCCCAGAATAGTCACTTATCTGCTGGCTGCTGCTCCTTGGAAACGCAGGTTTGAATCTCCCTGGGGCAAGAAGGGAACTAAACACAGACCCTATGCAAGTGCATTAACTACTATAAGGTTACTCATGGGGAGCACGTAGCATGAGCACGTTCCTCTGACTGAGAGAGAAATGGTTACCACCAAAATCACATACAGAGCCAGATATAGGTCAAAGTGGCAGATTCAGATGTAGATACATCACAGCATTAGCACTGACAAAACAGACATACATAGACACACATAGAAGGTCAATTTTAAACACTGAATGAAGAACATGAAAAATAGGAAATGGGTTAGCAGGAATGCTGAACTACGCATATCCACAGGAACAGCACCTCAAAATCAGAATTTGTAGAACACACCAGCTTTGAGATATAAACCTAAAATGCATCAGGAGTAAAAGCTTTACATAAAGAGCAAAACAGCCAATGTTTCTTCCCCCAACTCTTAGCAGTTAAAAGTATTTGTGACTCAGCAAGATCCCCAGTAAAGTGAATCTAAACTTAACATTTCTCCATCTCCGCAAAACAGTTCTATAAATGCTACAAGCAGATGTCAGAAAGATGAGGAGAAACAGGGAAATCGCCAAATTTAGATCCCATGTATTGCTATTCTCGCATTTCAGAGTTACTGGTAACACTATTTTTTGCTGCCACAAGGAGCATTTGATAATCCTTGCCCCACAAATCTGCAGTACAAGTTACCATAGGAAAGGTTCCCTCTTTCTGGAAACACATTCAGAACACTTTCCATACCTCTTTCCTCCAAAAAGACCATCATGGGAGATAGCCAGAGAGTCACTTTCATCTATATGTAAAACTGCTTAAAAGTTTATACGTACTGTTGATGCCTAGAGGTAAATACTTCATTTAGAAGACTAAATTTAGTTAGAATTCCTAGAATTTTCACTTATTATAGAACAAACAGAATAGTTTAATATATTTAACAATAAAATATATTTATCAAAACTGAATTTGGACTCAGATACCATTGGTACAAATAAGAAAAAAACCCAAACAAGTCTTATTGCACATATAACACTCCCTCCCGAGCTCCAACAACAAAGGTAACACCAGACTATTTTCATTGCAGTGCTCATTTCACAGTAAACCTTCCCAGCACTGCTATGACAGTTTTTCTGATTTTCTACTACTATAGAAAATGTCAATTCACTCTTTCATTCAGAAGACTGAATAATGCCAATTACCATTCTGTTTTCAAATTTGAAATATGAAAAAAATGTGGCAACAACTTTTCATACAAAATGAACTTCTGAACAGTTCAACTGATCTAAAGCTTTTGTGCTGCAATCAAAACAGGACACAGAATAAGCACAAGTGGAAAGAATTAAAAGTCACAGATAAGGATAGCGTCAGGCATTAGAAAACGGCAAAATAGCAGCATACTGGAAGCACCAATTAGGGATGAAAAATAGGAAGTTCTCTGTCCCAGTACTTTCCTAACAATGTTTAACATATTCAAGTCACTGTATAAATCCCTGGCATGCATAAAACCTGAATAGAGACAGGGTAGAACAAGAAAAGGTGTAACAAGAGCGTGACACGCGATCTAACTCATTAAGTATTGTACCTTACACAGAAGAAAACACTAAATAGATCTAGAAATCCACAGCTTCGAAAAAAGATGACTAAGGCATGCTATATCAGAAGTCTCCAGAAACTACAAACCACTTGGAGAAAGGGAGTAGAAAAAGACTATTCTTTCCCCACCCCTTGCTACACAAGTACGAGTGGTACAGCAACACAGTTATCAAACAGAAGGTTAAACTAAAATAAGGGTTTTTCCTATACACCCCCCTGTGAGACAAACTCATTTACATAGGATGTTGGCCAAAAGTATAAATGGAATGAAAAAGCAATCAAGACAAATTGATGGAAGAAAGGTCCAAAAAGGACTATTCGATTACATTCCAGATGCAACTCCCAGCTCAAGAAGTTTCTGAAATCAAAGGCTGCCAGTAACTGGAAGAGTATACGAAAGTATCACATTGCTCTGTTCTTCTACCCGTTTTTGGGTTGGTTTTTTTTTCCATGTCAGAGACAAAGCGCTAGATCCTTGGCCTGACAGAGCACAGCTGTTCGGCACTAAGCAGAATGTTTGCTACTCACCAGCAGTATGAAGGTTTTATGAGCATTTGCACAAATGCTCATTACTAGGACTGGCTCAAATACATTTTTTTCTTCTTTACTTTTGAAAGCGTTCTAGCTTTGAGAAAAATCCAGGTTGTCTTGTATTTCTAAACAATAATTAAGTAAATTATTTTGTGGGAATTATTAGAAAGGTTATCACCAGCTAATGTCACTTGAAGCCAGCGATGCTTGCCAATACATGAAAATAAGTGTTGCAGTATTTAAAGAGCAGCTTGATTTAAGAATATCTTACATCAGTAGTT